ATTGCGGAGAGAGGCTAGAGAGAGAACAGCGGTAAGGAGAGCGAGGGCAACTGAGGATAGTGCCAAGACTAGAGTCTCAGCTAGTACCGGTGCAACCATGGCTACCTCATCTATGACGCAAGTCTCTACACAGTCCTCTTCGACAGGAGTCAGTCAGAGTGGGTCTCAGGTTTCCACTAGTCAGATTGCTAGCGTACGAGTCAGCCAGCAAATTCAACTCACGCTGGAGGATTTTAAAATCCAGCAAGCAGAAGAACTTCAGGATGAGCTACAACGGTAGTTGGACGAGGCAGCAGAGAGGAGAAGAAAAACCATACTTAGGAAGGCTAGACGAGGGAGTAGAATGCAGGAGCTATGCAGACTGGAAGCACTAGATGAGGCAGCTTTCGACCCTGCTGGTCGTGTGCTGCGTAATGCTTTACTTTCGGTAGCTGAAGCGCATAACGTCCAGCAGGAATTATTGACTGACTTGTTGGCAGGCCAGAAACAAATCCTGGCTGAACTTCGGGCTCCTCGCCTAGCAGTGAGGCAGCCACAGTTTGCTGTAGTTCCCCCTGTAGGTGCGGGTCCATCATCGATGTTCCCCCTGTAGGTGCGGGTCCATCATCGATGTCGCCACACACAGGGCAAACTTTCTCTCCTATGGTTGGCATGCCCCCTCCTGGTGGTTTAGCAGCAACTAGTGGTCCGGTTCAAAGAGTCTCTGCCGTACCGTCCACGACAGTGGTAACTACAGTCCCACTGTCAAGCCAGGCCCAGGTTAGTGTGCAACAGCCTGTTTCAGTGGCTATGCAGCCGCTGCAGCAAGCCCCTGGGCCCATGCAGCCTATGCAATGGATGCATAAGATACCTCTGATGAGTCCCAAACCCTTCTTTGGAGATAGGAAGAAGGAGGAAGACTTGGACACCTGGGTGAGGACTGTGCCTACTTATGTGAGGCACAAGCTCACAAGGCCAGAGCAAGAAGTTGTAGAGGCTGCCTCCTTTCTAGAGGGGTCAGCAGCTCGCTGGTTGAATGGCTTAGTGCAGCAGCAGGGCTACGGTCAGGATTTCGATGCCTGGGCTCAGGCTCATACATTGGAACAGTTCGTACGGTCTGTCTACAACAGGTGGCATGACCCGCAAGGGGCTCAAAAGGCCACCGATGCTATCAACAACCTTTGTTCCCGCAGGTTCAAGGATGTTAGAGAGCTTACAGACATCGTAGAACGCCTTCTCGTGGTACCTGGTGTGCGTTTTGACTAGCAGGTTCTCCTGACGGATTACCTAAGGTGCCTACCTGCAGAGGTAAGGACCAAGCTGGTTGACGAGGCCTATGTCGAACAGCACACCTTCGCTTCTTTTAGTAAGAAAGCTCTGGACATAGAGRCAAAGYTGGGGTCTGSKCATAAGGTATCTCATGATGGTAGGAAGAGACTACCCCAGGACTGGAAGAAGAAAGGTCAGTTAATGTTCGTTGACCATGATGGTCAAACGACGGAGATTGACGAATTCCCAGACCTAGGGGAGTTGAGTCAATTGACAGAGCAAGATGGGGCCAACGAGACTTCGGGTGGGGGAGTCGTGGCGCCCATCAAGGAAAAGGCTAGGGGGACCGGGAAGAAGAAGGTAGGACGGTCCACGGGTGACGGAGACCAAGGGACACCCGCATGGGTGAAGCTTGGTTTGGATTATGAGGTGTGGAGGGACCGAGTTGCTAGGGGCACTTGCATGAACTGTGGCAATTATGGCCACACGTCGCGTATGTGCCGAGGCAAAAAGGTCACAACGAAGGTAGCCTCGCCAACAGTGGTGGGCTTATCTTTGAATCCTGGAAGTGCTTCTGCGAGCAGCTCATAGGGAAACACCTCGGGTCAGTAGGAGTGTTAGCCGCTCTTACTCATGCTAAAGTGGTAACGTTGCCTTCCCCACTTCAGGCGTTGGCCAAAGCTAGTGACCCACGCATCGCCCCGCAGACACATTCAGACCCGCCGACGCTCTGTTCGAGAGATGTGTCTGAGGCCCTAGAAGAGTTAGAGACTGAGTGGTCAGGGAAGGACCCCAAGGACTCTTGGGCGATGACCGCAAGGTTGGCGCCTTCGCAGACATAGGCTCTACACGAAATTTCATCAGTCATGCTTGTGTGGATAGACTACGCTTAGGGGACCAAGTGCAGCGGCTTAGCAGAACTGTAGCTTCTATGCTGGCCAACAAACACCAAATGTTGGTGAAAGACTATGTCAAGGACGTAGTTTGCACCTTCTCCTATGGAGGAGGGGAAGTGAGTCATAAAATCTCCTTCCTGGTTAGCGACGAACTGCCATTTGACATGCTCCTAGGTATGTACTACCTCGAGGTCGCGCGACCGCAGTTTGACTGGGATAGAAAGGTATTGATTCACAAATTGCCCAACGGTAGATCTGTTAGATTGCAAAAGTTCAAAGCTAGCAGTCTAATAGAAAACTACGGGTGCATGTGTGCATCATCCTTCTATAACTATTATAAGCAGAATTGCGAGGAAGGCATGTATCTAGTTTTTGTCTCTGAGAAAGGGGAGGCCGTTAAAACACCCCCAAAGATAGAAAAAGTCGTCGCTCAATATTCAGACCTTTTTTAGGAGCCCACAGGCGTGGTAGAAAGGGAGGTTGTCCATGCGATAGAGGTTGTCCCAGGTAGCAAAGTGCCTAGAGGGCGAATCTATAGGATGTCTCCTGCGGAGTTAGACGAGCTTTGCCGCCAGCTCAAGGAGCTCACAGAGAAGGGATGGATACGGCCTAGTACCTCCCCTTACGGTTCGCCAGTCTTATTTGTCCCAAAGAAGGGAGGTCCATTAAGGATGTGCATTGACTATAGGAGCCTCAATGCCATCACCGTTAAGAATGCGAAACTCCTACCCCGCATTGACGACCTCTTGGACAGAGTGCAGGGATGCTGGTACTTCACAAAGATAGATCTGAAGTCCGGATACGATCAAATTGCCGTTAGGCCCGAGGACCAACACAAAACCGCATTTCAGACCAGGTACGGTCTGTACGAGTTTGTGGTGATGCTATGCAATGCACCTGGTACGTTCCAACACGCGATGAACCGGATATTTTATGAGTACTTGGACAAGTTTATCGTCGTGTACCTCGACAATATTCTTATCTTTAGTAGGACTGTAGAGGAGCACGCTGAGCACTTGAAAATAGTGCTAGGTCTCCTAAGACAGCACCAGTACAAGGTAAACTTGGATAAATGCGAGTTTGGTCACACGAAGATCTTGTACTTGGGTCATGAAATTTCAGCAGATGGATTGAGGTTTGGTCGCACCAAGATCTTGTACTTGGGTCATGAAATTTCAGCAGATGGATTGAGGCCGGAAGATGCGAAGGTGGCCAGCATACGTGACTGGCCCAGACCTCAGACTGTTACTGAGGTCAGATCGTTTTTGGGGATGACGGGCTATTATCACCCGTTTGTAAAGAACTATAGTACTACAGCTTCCCCATTAACGGATCTAACTCGACTTGACACCCCTTGGGCGTGGACTGAAGAGTGTGAGGCAAGCTTCAAGAAATTGAAGTATGCTCTGACACACTATGAAGTTCTCAAACTTCCGGATCCTGACAAGCCATTCGCCGTGACCACAAACGCTAGCCAATATGGCATAGGCGCGGTCCTTGCGCAACAAGAAGGGCCCAAGTTGAGACCGATCGAGTACATGAGTAAAAAGATGCCTTCTCAAAAGTTGGCTAAGTCCACTTATGAGAGAGAGTTCTACGCCCTGTACCGAGCGCTAGTTCATTGGAGACACTACCTCCTAGGAAGATTCTTCTATGTGAGGTCGGACCATGAGACTTTGCGTTGGATTAAGACACAACCTGTGTTGTCGGACGCACTCAAGAGATGGATTCAAGTGATAGACATGTATGACTATCAACTTGACCCTATCAAGGGTACGTACAACAAGGTGGCTGATGTCTGGGGGCACTAGTAACAGAGATTGGCATATCTAGCGATTTGACTCGATCATTGGTGGATGCCTATCAGCAAGATCCAGTTATGTCCGAGATCATTCGTAGATTCAAGGCAAAGGATAAAACGACTTTGGGCGAATTTACGATGATAGACAGCTTGCTGTTTCTTGAGAAGGCAGGGAATAAAAGGTTGTGTGTTCCCAGTAGTGAGTTGTTGCGTAGTTTATTTTTAGGAGAATGTCACGATGCAACTGGTCATTTTGGCTACAAAAAGACATCAGCGAACTTAGTACAAAGATTCTGGTGGCCTTCTATGATGATAGATGCAAAACGCTATGTTGAAACTTGCCAGGTTTGCCAAAGAGACAAACCAAGGACTCAGGCCCCGCTTGGGCTGATCAAACCCTTGCCGATTCCTGAAGGACCAGGTCAGAGTGTGTCTATGGATTTCATGGACACCCTTGTGACCAGCAAGTTTGGAAAGAGGCATATCTTTGTTATAGTGGACCGTTGTACTAAGTACGCAAGACTGATTGCCATGCCAGAAACAGCTAAAACTGACTACGTCATCAAACTGTTTATGGATAATTGGGTACGGGATTTTTGTTTGCCTATATCCATCGTTAGCGATAGGGATGTGAGATTCACAAATGAACTGTGGCAGTCAACTGCTGAACAGATGGGCAACTCCAAATGACTTCAGGGAATCACCCTGAGTCAAATGGCCAAGCAGAACAGATGAACCGGGTAGTAGAGCACCTGCTTCGACATTACATTAAGCCAAGTCAGGATGACTGGGACGAGAAGTTACCTCTCGTCGCCAGCTTGTACAACAATGTTGTGCACAGTACAACCGGTATGACTCCCAACCAGTTACATCTTGGTTGGAAGCCCAGAAGTGCATTGGACTTTCTGCTACTAGAAAGACACTCCACTGCAGCACCTAGCAGCATAAAGTTTGCTGTCAAATATGAACAGATGCTGCAGTAGGCCGTTGAACATATTAGGAAGTCTCAAGATGCTATGATTGCATCCGAGAATAAGCATAGACGGCCCTCTAACTTTCAGGTAGGTGAACGAGTTTGGGTAAAGTCATCTGAATTAGGTCAGGAGTTGGGGATATCCAGAAAACTGATGCCACAGTATCTCGGGCCCTGGGAGATCTTGGACGTTGTAGGGGATCAACCGGATGGGCCTTCATACGTGATCTGTATTTTTGCACACCTACGCACCTACCCAGTGTTTCATGCCTCCAAGCTGGCACCTTTCGCTGCAACTGAGCAGTTTCCTTCAGAAGATCAATGTTGCCCCCAACCATGGATGGCGAAGTGGACATTGACCAGATCATTGAGCATCGAGTGATGCCTGTTCCTCGACCATCAGGCAGAGGGCGACCTCCTAAGCCGAGAATGCAGTATCGTGTGAGCTTCAGACATCATCTGGATCCAAAAGAAGACCGGTGGTTCACACGAGAAGAACTCATGAGAACAGCACCTCAAGTGATCGCAGGCTATGAAAGAGCACTCAAGGGGAAGATGCCTGCAGAATGAGAGACTTCTCAGAGGACTCACGAAGTAAAGGAGGAGGGAATGCGAGGATCAGGGTCCTCGGTAGGCCTATGGGGCCCTGTTTGCAGCCTTACCCGCCCTAAGTGCAGGCGGAGGTGCCCGCCCTAAGTGAAGGCGGGCCTGGCTTTTTGCAAGAGGCCCTCGACTGTCAATTTCATATTTGGGGTCTAGCAGTTGCGACGCGCCAGTTGGTTGAAAGAAACACAGGCCGAGCACCGAAGACATTTCCACGGCCTACCGGGCCTTTCCAAAGAATGCAGGCCCTGGGCGTGATTCGCAGCCTCATACAGAGACAGTTGGGTGCCCAACCGAACGAGGCCCAGCAGCCCAGTAGCTGCTGCATCCAGGCAGCCTCCTGGGCCTTCCAGAAGCTTCTGGGCCCAGGCCAGCCCAGCCAGGCTACGAGAGCTGGCCAGCTCTTTTCCATGAAGGAAAGAGTTCTCGCCAGGCAGCCTCATTCAGGCACTCACATGCTAGCGGCAGCGCTGCTGGATCAAAGGCTCGCGGCTGCTGGCTGGCGCTGAGAGGCGAGGTGCAGCACGTGCGGTCGTGCAGAGGAGGAGGGCGCTGCTGAGGGCAGCGCCATAGCCCAGCCACCATAGCTGGTGGGCTTGGACTACAGTGAAGCGCAGGGGTGGTCTTCGGGTCAAAGAGAGGACAGGTGTGGGTGTAGACAGGGGATAGGTGAAGGATGATGATGATGATGATGATGTGAGGGCACTTACCTTGTATTGGCGATAGTCTGCATGGGCGACATCTTCAAGTACTTCGAGCTGTCGTTGATGTCAACAGTTGCATTGTCTTTTTGTAGTCTGTAGTAGCTGTGTAGGAGCAGGCTGGGCGCTGAGCGCCAAGTGTGAGTGTGAAGGAACTGGACTCTTGTGTTGAGGGGAGAGAGTTTGCTCTCCATGAACATTGGTTTTCAGTGCTACGAACTTCCATTGGTGTATTATTGGTGCAATGCTGCTCTCTGGACACACTGTGACTATCTGGCTTTCAATGTGATGGTGTGAACTGGAATTGTCATCTCGCTGTTGCTTATTTTCCGTGCACATTAAAGAAACGAAGTGCAAATATCGGAACTTTCAGATAAAAACGAAATGTTATTATCAGAAATTTTCGGATATTTGTTGCGTGAAAACGAAATGCAAATACTAGAAAATTTCAGATAAAACGAAAAGCTACTTATCAGAAATTTTCGGATATTTGTTTCCTAAAAAAACGAAGTGCAACTATCGGAATTTTTCAGATAAAACGAAATGTTTTAATCAGAAATTTTCGGATCTTTGTTGTGTGAAAACGAAATGCAAATATCAGAAATTTTCAGATGAAACGAAATGCTAATACCCGAAGTAAAAAGAAAAAAAAGAAGAAAGAAAGAAAAAAAAACTATTTGCAGAGATTTTGGCGAAACCCTACTTGATTCACTAATCAATCAACCAATCAATCAACCAATCAATCAATCAATCAATCAATCAATCAATCAATCAATCAATCAATCAATCAATCATCCATCAGTAGATCAAGCAAGCTGACTACTTGATTGGGCGGACCTTGATGAAAAAGATCCGCTCCGATACCAAACTGTTGCATACCATAACGGTGCAGACCAGACCAAGAACCGATCTTTCTCGCTAGATACAAGATTGCACAACGGAACGCTTGAATACCAATGATCCAATCAATCAAGCTGCCATGCGGACCAAGCATGCATCATCATCATCTCATGGTGTGAAGGGGGCTGACGCACACACAGGAAGAATGCGTCAGTCCCCGATCATACACAGACGAAGAAGAGGGGGATTAGACGAAGGGGAGGGGGAAGATGGAAATGTCGTCAACTCCAAGTCTTCGATACAGTCCCACGTAATCCCTCGCCAAAGGTCTGAATCCTGATGCTGAGTCTGAACCCCAATGTCGCCCATCTCTCTCTCTCTCTCTCTCTCTCTCTCTCTCTCTCTCTCTCTCTCTCTCTCTCTCTCTCTCTCTCTCTC